TACTGACTGCCAGGTGTAAAGGGCAGAGCTTATAACAATGATTGACAGGGAGCTAAGATGGAAGCGGCTCTCTCTATACTGACTGCCAGGTGTAAAGGGCGGAGCTTATAACAATGATTGACAGGGAGCTAAGATGGAGGTGGCTCTCTCTATACTGACTGCCAGGTGTAAAGGGCGGAGCTTATAACAATGATTGACAGGGAGCTAAGATGGAGGTGGCTCTCTCTATACTGACTGCCAGGTGTAAAGGGCGGAGCTTATAACAATGATTGACAGGGAGCTAAGATGGAGGTGGCTCTCTCTATACTGACTGCCAGGTGTAAAGGGCGGAGCTTATAACAATGATTGACAGGGAGCTAAGATGGAGGTGGCTCTCTCTATACTGACTGCCAGGTGTAAAGGGCGGAGCTTATAACAATGATTGACAGGGAGCTAAGATGGAGGCGGCTCTCTCTATACTGACTGCCAGGTGTAATGGGCGGAGCTTATAACAATGATTGACAAGGAGCTAAGATGGAGGCGGCTCTCTCTATACTGACTGCCAGGTGTAAAGGGCGGAGCTTATAACAATGACTGACAGGGAGCTAAGATGGAGGTGGCTCTCTCTATACTGACTGCCAGGTGTAAAGGGTGGAGCTTATAACAATGATTGACAGGGAGCTAAGATGGAGGCGGCTCTCTCTATACTGACTGCCAGGTGTAAAGGGCGGAGCTTATAACAATGACTGACAGGGAGCTAAGATGGAGGTGGCTCTCTCTATACTGACTGCCAGGTGTAAAGGGCGGAGCTTATAACAATGACTGACAGAGAGCTAAGATGGAGGTGGCTCTCTCTATACTGACTGCCAGGTGTAATGGGCGGAGCTTATAACAATGATTGACAAGGAGCTAAGATGGAGGTGGCTCTCTCTATACTGACTGCCAGGTGCAATGGGTGGAGCTTATAACAATGATTGACAGGGAGCTAAGATGGAGGTGGCTCTCTCTATACTGACTGCCAGGTGTAAAGGGCGGAGCTTATAACAATGATTGACAGGGAGCTAAGATGGAGGCGGCTCTCTCTATACTGACTGCCCCTTTACACAGCTAAGTGTCCCCTAGCACTCGACGGTCCACTTCTAACCTTCTTACTAGTGGACATAAGCTCCTGTTATCCAGTCTGGGACAGAGAAAAAGGTGTATGTAGTGAGTGTAGAAGAAAGGGAACATGCCACATTATTTGCATAATGCGCAAATCCGCTTTAGCTTAACTAAATTTATGGCAAGACAGGAGGCTTCATATTTGCTTTACTTTCTTTTCTCAAAGCTCCCAGCAAAATTATAAAAGATCGGTAGCTGAATATAAACAAATAAAAAACAAGTAATAAGTTGAATTAAATATATTAGGGCTGCTTCACCACACAAGAGAGCAACTGAATAGTGTGTTGAACAAAAATGTATAAAGGTTTTGTGAGCACTCCAAACAAACTCAAGTGTAAATCCAGCACGGAGAGATCTAACTATCTCAACAATATAAATACAGCACTTTTAGATATTATATCAAGGTATACAGTTGCAAGAAAAAGTATGTGAACCCTTTGGAATGATATCATTTCTGCACAAATTGGTCATAAAATGTGATCTGATCATCATCTAAGTCACAACAATAGACAATCACAGTCTGCTTAAACTAATAACACACAAAGAATGAAATGTTGCCATGTTTTTATTGAACACCATGTAAACATTCACAGTGCAGGTGGAAAAAGTATGTGAACCCCTAGACTAATGACATCTCCAAGAGCTAACTGGAGTGAGATGTCAGCCAACTGGAGTCCAATCAATGAGATGAGATTGGAGGTGTTGGTTACAGCTGCCCTGCCCTATAAAAAACACACACCAGTTCTGGGTTTACTTTTCACAAGAAGCATTGCCTGATGTGAATGATGCCTCACACAAAAGAGCTCTCAGAAGACCTACGATTAAGAATTGTTGACTTGCATAAAGCTGGAAAGGGTTATAAAAGTATCTCCAAAAGCCTTGCTGTTCACCAGTCCATGGTACGACAAATTGTCTATAAATGGAGAAAGTTCAGCACTGCTGCTACTCTCCTTAGGACTGCAAGAGCACAGCGCAGACTGCTCAATGAGGAGAAGAAGAATCCTAGAGTGTCAGCTAAAGACTTACAAAAGTCACTGGCAAATGCTAACATCCCTGTTAGCGAATGTACAATACATAAAACACTAAACAAGAATGGATTTCATGGGAGGATACCACAGAGGAAGCCACTGCTGTCCAAACAAAACATTGCTGCACGTTTACAGTTTGCACAAGAGCACCTGGATGTTCCACCTGGACCCCTTGCTCACGGTGCCTAGAGAGATATCAGCTATGCCTCACTGACGATGCCTAACAAGGCTGAAACGATCGCCTGGGGTTGCTGTATCTCTCGTGCAGAGAGAACTTGCTGGCATTTCGGATCTGGACTGCCCGTATGGGTGGGACCAGTCTGATATGCTTCAGATATGTTCTCTCTGTAATGGCACAAGATGAGCTAAAACCAGCTTGAGTTCTGAGCGGGGACCCACCGAAGGGCAGGCTATTTTATCTGATCTGCAACTACAGGAAACGTTTGGTTGAAGTTACTGCTGCCAAAGGAGGTTCAACCAGTTATTTAATCCAAGGGTTCACATACTTTTTCCACCTGCACTGTGAATGTTTACATGGTGTGTTCAATAAAAACATGGCAACATTTCATTCTTTGTGTGTTATTAGTTTAAGCAGACTGTGATTGTCTATTGTTGTGACTTAGATGATGATCAGATCACATTTTATGACCAATTTGTGCAGAAATCCATATCATTCCAAAGGGTTCACATACTTTTTCTTGCAACTGTATATATGTGTAAGAACCACTGAGCTAATAATACTTGCACTAAGGACCTTTTTTATTATTGCAAGTATTATTTTATATGTCATTGTCTACATTTAAATACATTTTTTATTTACATTTTATTTTTTATCAAAGTCATTTTATCTAAGTCCTTTTGGAGCCTCCAGGAATCTTCACAGGGGTAGTGTCATCCCCACAAAAATTGTCACAGTACCTGCACAGCTCAGAGCCGGGATTACTAGGCTCAGAACAAGGTTAGCACCCTATTTGTTTCTTGTTTACATGTCCACCTCAGATCTTAACAGAATTCACATTGGTTTGTTTCTTTTATCTTTATGAGAACCACTTCACAACGAATTGGAGGTGTGGTGCTGCCATAAAAGCACACCAGAGTGATTACGGAGCCAGTACTTACACACAGGATCCTTTAAATGTGGGTGTCCTGTCTACAATATTATATAATGTGTTCTATTCTAAGTACCATCTGCACTATATTGTATCTTTTGTCTTTTATTCTTTTACAGGTATCTTATACCCAACTTTTAATCAAGTTACGTGTGGTAAGTTTACCCCACATATGCATTATTTGTTCAGCGCTCCACTTGTAGGTTTTTACTTACACCGGTCTATAATCCTTACAGTTATAATTTTATCAATATGTTAAGCAGTGGTGTACACACAACCCATGGGGCCCCGGTGTGAAAATGATCCACAGGCCCTTCCCCAACCCTTACTCCCACGCCCCCCCCCCCACCCCCAACAGACACACACACAGACAGACACATACATACAAACAGACAGGCATAACTACATACAAACAGACCGACAGGCACACATACAGACAGACAGACACACACATACAAAGACACATACATACATAAAAACAGATACACACAGACACATACAGACATACACACACATACAGACAGACAGACAAAGACACATACATACATAAAAACAGATACACACAGACACATACAGACAGACACACACACGACATACAAAGACACATACATATAGAAAGACACAGAACAAACACGGGAACACATGGGAGCACAGAGAACAAACACAGGGAGCACAGGGGACACAGGGAGCACGGGGGAGCACAGGGGACACAGGGGAGCACAGAGAACAAACACAGGGGAGCACAGGGGACACAGGGAGCACGGGGGAGCACAGGGGACACAGGGGAGCACAGAGAACAAACACAGGGGAGCACAGGGGACACAGGGAGCACGGGGGAGCACAGGGGAGCACAGGGGACACAGGGGAGCACAGAGAACAAACACAGGGGAGCACAGGGGACACAGGGAGCACGGGGGAGCACAGGAGCCAGGACACAGGGGAGCACAGAACAAAACCACAGGGAGCACAGGACACAGGGAGCAGAGGAAACACAGGGGAGCAGAGGGGAAACACAGGGGAGCACAGGGGACATGGTGGGGGGAGCACAAGGAGGAAACAAACACAGGAGCACAGGACACAGGAGCACGGGGAGTTACAGGAGCACAGGGATTGCCAGGGAGGCGGCCAGAGAACAAACACAGGGGAGCACAGGGGACACAGGGAGCACGGGGGAGCACAGGGGAGCACAGGGGACACAGGGGAGCACAGAGAACAAACACAGGGGAGCACAGGGGACACAGGGAGCACGGGGGAGCACAGGGGACACAGGGGAGCACAGAGAACAAACACAGGGAGCACAGGGGAACACAGGGGAGCAGAGGGGAACACAGGGGAGCAGAGGGGAACACAGGGGAGCAGAGGGGAACACAGGGGAGCAGAGGGGAACACAGGGGAGCAGAGGGAGCAGAGGGGAACACAGGGGAGCAGAGGGGAACACAGGGGAGCAGAGGGGAGCAGGGGGGGGGAGCAGAGGCCATGGCAGATTATAAAATGGGAGTTTTACAATACTGCCCTGTACTAAGGGAGGCCTTGCCCTCAATCAAAATGGCGGCCGTGACATCCCTCAGGGAAACGCCTAACTCGTTGTCATGGTTACACTAGAGCGCAAGCGTTGCCCTTGGTTCCCTCAGTCTCCGCCCCCTGTCACCGATCGGGCTACTGGTGACGTAGCTGGCTGTGACTGCCTTAGAGTTCTAAACAGCAGAGCCCCGCCCCCGGTCAGGGACAGGAGGACGTATTTCCGGAATCCTCAACGAGCGTTACGTTCCGATGTCACGTGTTGTTGCGCGGTGACGTGTCGCTCAGTGATTGGCCGCTGGGAGCCGGAAAGATGGCGGGAAGAAGGCTGTGGGGGAGGGTCGGCGGGGTGTCGGGGGCTCTGGCCGTAGGGGCCGCGGCATATGGAGCACACGGTGAGCAGCTGGCCCCCGGGAATAACCCCGTGTGGGGGGGAGGGGGATACCATCACACTGACTGTATAGGAGATATTATCACCTGCCATGCTACAATAATAATAATAATAATAATATAATAATATAAATAATAATAATATAATAATATAATAATATAAATATATAATAATATAAATATAATAATAATAATATAAATATATAATAATATAAATATAATAATAATAATAATATAATAATAATATAAATAATAATATAATATTAATAATAATAAAATAGGGGGGCGGAGCCTAGCACCGGACCGGAGCGGAAGCACATTGCCGGAGCTCCGAGCTACCGCACGGCAATCCAGCCACATCGGAGGCATCCCGCACTAATCCCGGCCACATAATCAGCCACAGCCCGCAGGGAACCTCGCTGCAACCGCCGATGCCGTTTCTCCTGATGCCCGGCTCGAAAAATAGACGCCGAGGCGGCAAGGCCTACCGGGCAGGGAGGCAACCTCAACCCAGCACGGGAGAACACTGGCCCTGGAGTGTCCCAGAATTTGAGGACTGGTACCCCAGCACACACAGCTCAGGTGAGATGGGGCGCAGAACGCAGAAACTGCCCCAAAACCGCAGCGCGACATAGGCCAAATGTTACAGGCCCCAAGCGCAGTAAAGGCACAGACCCCCCGTGAAACCTCCCCTGCACCATCAGAGGAGGAAGAATCACTAGACAGCCCACACCTCAATCCCCAACACCCCACACACACGTGGATGCCAGAAGCCAGCGCACCGGCCTCCAAACAAGACATACAGGCTATGCTGACAGGCCTGCAACAGAACTTAAGACAAATGTGGGAAGTGGACCTGGCAGTGCTTAAACTAGATGTGCACGCCGTGTCCACACGCACACAAGCGGTAGAAGAGGAGGTAAAGGGACTAAGAGGGAACTACCAGGAATTGGGAGAGACGGTGCGACACCTTCAAGCTGCACAAGCAACAATGTCCAGGCAAGTTACTCTCCTAGATGATAGGGGGCGTCGAAAGAACATAAAAATCCGAAGGGTACCTGAATCAATACCGCTGGAAGAGTTGCCACATTTCATCAGACGCCTTGTGGCCACACTCCTGCCAACTAGACAATCTAAAACGTTCCAGTTCGACGGGGTTTACAGGATAGCCAAATCCCCACAAGCACCCAACTCAGCCCCAAGGGACATAATATTGAGATGCCAATCAATGTTGGACAAACTGAGGCTAATGGCAGCTATGCAAGGGAAAACACCTCTTGACTTTGAAGACAGCAAACTCTCCTTCTTTCAGGACTTGAGCAGGGCCACACTGATGTGGCGCAAAAGTATGCAACCAATCACCAAACAACTCCAAGCCGCAGGAGTAGCCTATAGATGGGCAACACCAGGAACTCTCTGGGTCACTAAAGATGACAAGCGCTACAGAGCTACCGACCACGCAGAGGGCCCGGCACTGATGACCGCATTGGGAATATCGAACCTCGCAGCGACCTCTATGACACAGCCGGCTCAACGACCAGGGACAACGAGCACAGATTCATCCGCAACTCCTGGAATAAGCAGAGGACCGAAAACCAAAACCTGAACGAACTGCCTCACCGACGGCCTCATAGGCCTTAGTTTCACTAGTTTAAATATTTTAAGTTGATACATCGGTTCATTTAAGTTAAATGTAGCTCTCTCACATTCTGACGGCTATAACAGTGCTAAAGTGGCCCACCAGAGCCGCGCACACTAGCCCCGATAACAATCCCCCCCCCCCTCCCTTGGGTTAATGGGAAACGACATCAAAGGCGACATAGTAACCCTGACTGGAATCAGGCTCATCGCGAGGTCTGATGCCCCAAGGGCACAACTTGATCCGGTCACACTACAGCGACCTATGTATATACATAGACACAATTTGAAGTTACCACTAGGGCCACAAAGACACCCTGAGCACCACACACATGGGCACCCACCAATAGCTACAACCAGGGAAAAGCAAAAGAGGAGCGGACATAGTCCTAGACAGGCACCATTAGAGGGACCCCGTAACTACCGCAATCCGCATCCTTACCCAAACTCAAAAGGGTCAAGAGACTCACCCAACACCCATAAACTATAGTCGCACGACCTAGAATTGGGACCAGCCACTGGACCTAGCAGTAAATGCCTTTCCCCCCCCCCACCTACGACTCCACAGACCTTAGGGTGTCTTAGGCAGACAGAAGTCTTCCACCCCTACAGTTATTAGATTTTAAAACCTCACTGTAACAATGTGACCTATTGTAAATATAAAATGTGTGTGAATAGCACACAACAATGCCTTGTATTTGATATGTACTGATTCTAATCGATGTGTCGAGGCTGTTGTGGCCAACTTCCTGAATGTTATCTTTCCACATGAAAAATAAAGATTTATAAAAAAAAAAAAATAATAATAATAAAATAATAATATAAATATATAATAATATAAATATATAATAATATAATAATATAAATAATATATAATAATTAAAATAATAATTATAATAATAATAATATAAATATAATTATAATATAATAATATAATAATATATAATAAAATATAAATTATAATATAATAATAATAATAATAATATAAATAATAATAATAAAATAATATTATATAAATATAATAATAATATTAATAATGGGTCAGATATCACCTGCTATAGAATATCATTATTAATAATATATAACTATAATAATATAAATATTAAACAATTATAATATATATTATAATGGGTCAGATACCACCTGCTATAGAATAATATATATTAATATAATGGGTCAGATATAACCTGCTATAGAATATCATTAATGATAAATATATAATAATATTATAATGGGTCAGATATCACCGGCTATAGAATAATAATAATATAATGGGTCAGATATCACCGGCTATAGAATAATAATAATATAATGGGTCCGATATCACCGGCTATAGAATAATAATAATATAATGGGTCAGATATCACCTGCTATAGAATAGTAATATATAATAATATAATGGGTCAGATATCACCTGCTATAGAATATCATTAATGATAAATATATAATATTATAATGGGTCAGATATCACCGGCTATAGAATAATAATAATATAATGGGTCAGATATCACCGGCTATAGAATAATAATAATATAATGGGTCAGATATCACCGGCTATAGAATAATAATAATATAATGGGTCAGATATCACCGGCTATAGAATAATAATAATATAATGGGTCAGATATCACCGGCTATAGAATAATAATAATATAATGGGTCAGATATCACCTGCTATAGAATAGTAATATATAATAATATAATGGGTCAGATATCACCTGCTATAGAATATCATTAATGATAAATAATAATATTATAATGGGTCAGATATCACCGGCTATAGAATAATAATAATATAATGGGTCAGATATCACCTAGAATAGTAATATATAATAATATAATATATCACCGCTATAGAATAATATAATGGGTCAGATATCACCGGCTATAGAATAATAATAATATAATGGGTCAGATATCACCGGCTATAGAATAGTAATATATAATAATATAATGGGTCAGATATCACCGGCTATAGAATAGTAATATATAATAATGGGTCAGATATCACCGGCTATAGAATAATAATAATATAATGGGTCAGATATCACCGGCTATAGAATAATAATATTATAATGGGTCATATCACCGGCTATAGAATAATAATAATATAATGGGTCAGATATCACCGTCTATAGAATAATAATAATATAATGGGTCAGATATCACCTGCTATAGAATAGTAATATATAATAATATAATGGGTCAGATATCACCTGCTATAGAATAGTAATATATAATAATATAATGGGTCAGATATCACCGGCTATAGAATAGTAATATATAATAATATAATGGGTCAGATATCACCGGCTATAGAATAGTAATATATAATAATATAATGGGTCAGATATCACCTGCTATAGAATAATAATATATAATAATATAATGGGTCAGATATCACCTGCTATAGAATATCATTAATGATAAATATATAATAATATTATAATGGGTCAGATATCACCGGCTATAGAATATCATTAATAATATAAATATATAATAATAATTTGTGATTATTGTCAGTGAGACAGCCACTAGAGGCTTGATTAACACTCAGTGTAAACTTAGTTTCTCTAAAACGGTTTTCAGCTGCAGGGTTAAAATTAGGGGGACCTGGCACTTCATTGAGCTGAAGTGGTCTGGGTGCCTATAGTGGTCCTTTAAATTTGTCTCTTGTGGCTAACTGGGAAGTTTGATTTTTGGAAGGATGGATTTAACCTGTTAAAAGTACTTATTCAGTACAAATTAAGTGGGTGAATGAAAGTGGTGTCTGGCACATGTGGTCATATTGCCGTATGCTGCAATGCTTTACCTATTGTGTTTAATGCATCGCTAGCAATTACCGAGGGCATTCATTTATAGATATTGCAGAGATTGGTCTTTCAGCCAACTTTACTAATACTAAGTAAAGATTACTTAGTATTCATAAATTCTGCCCCTACTAGCTATATAAACCCTCACAAGTGGAGGCTACTAAACCGAACAGGAGACCTATTGCCCCCTGTGGCGAAAGTAACCTCGCCGCTTGTACTTGGAGGGGTCTGCTTGCCAGCCTCCTGCCCACATACTATGGGCCCTGCAGAGAAACCTGTAAAAGACTACCGAACATGACTGACTGTTAACCCTGATTTCCCTGAAACTGTTTTGGGCATAGGGCCATGTGCACGGTCTGTCAAAACTGACTTCCAGGCAGTGGCGTACACATGACCCATGGGGCCCCTGTGCAAAAATTGATCCGTGGGCCTCCCTCCCCCCCGCGCGCTTACTCGGCGCGGGTCGGGGTCGCAACACATGGTGGCGGGCACCTGGTCGCAGGGGTTGCAGGGCTGCGACCGCGGTATGCACACACACTTAAAGGACCGCTACAGACACTCAGATCACATCAGCTCAATGAAGTGGTCTGGGTGCCAGGTCCCTCTAGTTTTAACCCTGCAGCTGAAAACATAGCAGTTTCAGAGAAACGGCTATGTTTCACTGAGGGTTAATCCAGCCTCTGGTGACTGTCTCATTGACAGCTGCTAGAGGAGCTTCCGCGATTCTCACTGTGAAAATCACAGTGAAAAGACACTGAACGTCCATAGGAAAGCATTGAGTAATGCTTTCCTATGGGCGGTTTAAATGCGCGCGCGCGCCTCTTGCCGCGCATGTGCATTTCGGAGCTGAGTGGCGGACACTGGGGAGTCCGACGCTGGAGAAAGGTAAATGCTGAAGACACACACACACACTCTCACGAACAGACGCATACACACTAGCTAACAGACACACATTTACTGACAGAGACACACTCAGTGACAGACATACATACACACTCACTTACAAAACATACACTTTCACTGACAAACACACACTCACTAACAGACATCAAACACACTCAGTAACACACACAGTAACACACTCACTAGCATACACACACCCAATAACAGACACATTCACTGACACACACACTAACACGCACTAACACACACTCTAACACTAACACACACATTTTTTTTTTTTCAAATTTAATCCCCCCAGCCTCCTTACCTTTTGGAGTGCTGGGGGGATTCCCTGGGGTCCAGTGGTGGTGCTGCTGGGCTCCTGGACGGGCTGCCTGGCCGGCCGGCGCGCAAGGGAGCACTTTCCCCTGAGTGCTCCCTCGCGCGCCCGCCTGCCTGCCCGACCGGCCACCCGCCCGGTGACAGCAGGGCCAGCCTCGGGGGGCCCTGGGGTGGTCGGCTCCTGGGCCCCCCAGGAGAAGAGGCTGGCCCTGTGGCTACATACCGGGTCGCAGGGGCGGCCGGGCCCCCTGGTGGGCCGGGCCCGGTCGCAGCCGCGACCCTGGTATGTACGCCACTGCTTCCAGGAAATTCCTGAACCGATCTGGATCATTTTTGGATATGTTGTTCACCCAGATCAGATTTATGGGGATATGTTGTGTTTTGGGGTACTTATGGGACTTTGTAAAATATGTGGGTTTTTTTGCCTGGGGATAATTGGGTTAATACAGTACTTAATTATCTCACAGGCAGAGGGAGGGATTGTATGTTTGTTATGGTAGTGTTGTACATTTAATTACTGTTGTGATTGGTTTGTAAGGTCCATGGGGTTTTATGTGGTTTAAGGTACTTTTAAGGGTTTAATAAGACTGTATGTTTTTCTGTGCTTGGAGAAAATTGGGTTAGATTAGTACAGTTCCTGATTCAATTATCTCCCAAGAACAGAGGAGGGATTCTGTTGTTTGTGTATGGGAGTGTCTCACTGTATGACTATTTTTATTGGTTTATTCACTTTGTGTCGCTGTGCCTAACAAGGTCCACCTGGGTGTCACCCTTGTTGGGAAACTTGCATAAGAGGCCAGTGTGCCTCCATTAAAATTCTGTTCCTGCTTACTAGACATGTGCAATTAGTTTCCGTACGAATATGAATTTGGACATTCGGGTACTTCTGAATTGCCGAAGTTCTGAAATTACAGAATTTCCAAAGTTGCTGAAGCACAGAATTGCCTAAGTACTAATATACTTACCCAGTGAGAGAAGGAGAATGTTACATTGTATACAATTTTAAATAAAAAGTATACAAACATAGCCAGGATTCAGCTGTAAGCATTTGCAACACTTACAACAATCAAGTAACATACATTCATATAAAATGTAAGTTACTTAGCCAGTCAATGTAATTACAGGAATGAATAAGTAGATAACTCCCTAATTCCCACGGTTGGTCGGAGTGGCAGGCGGTCTGTCACATCCTGGTCCCCACCCCTGAGCGGTGGATGGGGGTCCTAAATGACAGTGCTGTGTAATTTGACTCATAGCAACACTCTGGTGTTTAACTGGGCATGCGCGAGAATTTTGCAGCATTATCTAGTGTGGGCAGATGATGTGTTCCACAGGGACTTCATCTACCCACACAAAGATGGCGGCACCTAGGCCCAGGCACAAAATAAAGATGCAAAATTAGGTAATATGGGGGGCTTAGGGGCTTTTGGGGGTGACTAGGGGCATAATTAGATGTAGTGGAGTCGGAAGGGGTTTTAAAAAAAAAAACAGGATTTGGTAATGACCGTGCCGCTTTAAGTACTTCAGCATTATATCTGACATTTTCTAGAAAGCCCTTTTCTGATTTGGAAGCTGGTGTCCTTGCACACCCTGTCCTCGTACAGTTTGGGGATATCCAGGAATTAATTCCCAGAGCACAGCTTAATCTGCTGTTTGGCTGTGGCCACATGTGATGCTGATCCAGGAATATTAAGATGTGTATTACCCGCTGTGTTCTGTCCCCCGAGGACGGGAACGTGGGAAGCATGGGAGGCAGTAAATGTGTTCATAACACTACTGAACCAGTTAAAAATCACACAAGAAGTAAGCTTAATCAATGTAAACTTTTTTTTTTTATACCTGTGACAAGTCCATATTTAATGTAATTTATTCACATTGTAATAGGGTGAGTGATATTCTTTGATTTGCGTAAATTAAACTACTGTAAACGAGTTTATTCCTTTCCCATCATGAATGCTGAAAGGTATCTGAAGGGAGTTCAGTTGTGAGATAGATAGATAGAGATAGATATCTATATTCAAAATACAGTTAGAATAAAATGACATATTAAAAAAATTTTTTTTTTACCTTTTCTTTTTAATTTACATTTTATAATATGTATATATTAATATAAAAATACACTTAGTATGATAGAGATACTGTTCACGTAGTCAGCACTATGGATGCTGTGACAAACTCACCTTTTTTTCCCACGAGTTCTTGGAGGGGACTACTTGCCAGCCTTTTACCCTGTGACTATGGCCCCTGCAATAGAACTGGCTAACATACTTCAAACAGGCTATGTTCGTGCGGTTGGGACTATATGGTTCGTTTACTGAACAACCGCACGAACAGAGACCACCCTGGAGCTTGTTAACACCTACTAACAACTTGGAACGTTTCTCACCGCAGTGTTCTAATTGTTCGTCTGGGTGGCCGCGATTCCTTTGAACAACCACAAGGTGGCGGCCATCTTGTTCGCATGAATGCAGGCAGCGGTGTTTGGGCATAAATCTCATGGAACTGAAATTGGATACAGAAACTCCCGAACACCGCTGGACTTCCATCATCGCCTGCATTCGTTTCTATGCAGCTTAGAAGGGCACTGTTCAGTGAAATCATTTGTCTGGATAAAGGGAACAAGCTCCAGGGTAAGACTATTGACTCAGTTTGGTAGTTTGTTCGTTTGCAAACTACTTAACTAGACCGGCCGCAAGCTCTGATTCTCTTGAACTGCTTTGGGCATGAAACCATGCCTGCGGTTGGTCAAAAAGAGACTTCCTGGAATTTCCTGAATCCCTGCTCTGATCTGGGTGATTTTTGGATATGTCGTTTACCCAGATCAGGGCTATCAGGGGATGTGTTGTACTTTGGGGTACTTTATAAAAAATGTTTTTTTCTGTCTAGGGATAATTGTTATTATATTATCTACCTTACTGGTATCACAGGCAGAGGGGAGGGATTGTGTACTGTATGTGGGAGTGCCGTTCATTGTTACATTGTTTTGATTGGCTTGTATACTTTGTGTCCTGTGCCCAACAAGGTCCACCTGGGCGTCAACCTTGTTGGGAAACTTGTATAAAAGGCAGCGTGCCTCCATTAAACTTATATTTTCCAGCTTATACTCCAAAACGGTGTGCCCTCCTGTTATTGGAGGGAAAGAAGATTTACTCCTGTGTCTGCTGTTCCAGCTTGCAGGAGACTCAACGGTGAAAGTCCTTGTAAGGACTAGAGCTAATTCCCTATTCGATTCCAGAGCTCCCAGGACTGAGTGTCGTCCAGTGCCTGGGGGTGTCAGAGCTAGTTCCCCATTCGGCTCCAGGAAGGAGGTGGTAGTTCCAGGACCCCAGTCAAGCCACGGCAACTTGAGGGCAAGAGTGCTGAGGTTTTACCCGCTGTTCCAGCTAGGAACGGACCTTGGCGGAGGTACCCAGTCGGGGTACCAGGTGATCTTTTACAGATGCCTATTGCGGCTTTCAGAACGATCACATGGCCCGCGGGGGCTTAATATGCAGAGGGGGGACTGTCTGGACTGTCAGGCAGTCCCCCCAAACCGGAAGCAATACTGATCACTGGCAGGGCACTGGAGAAAATCTGGTAAGTATAAGGATGGCTCATATTTGCCGTAGACATACAAGGTACGTCCGCGGTCCTAAGGACCACTTTTTGTCGGACGTACCTTGTACGTCTGCGTTCCTTAAGCGGTTAACAGAGTAAAGAGATTTATTTACCTTTAGTCCATCGGTGTGCCAGTGTCGATCTTGCTTCCTTGGCTGAGATCCTCAATCTTCCCCATTGGCAAATCACTGTGCAAATCAGCATCTTCTCGTGGAGATGTATTGAATCTTGCAAAGATTGCAGGACCTCGTCCGGGAAGTCCCTTTAGAGGCCGTCTGAGTGACAGCCCTTAGAGGTGGCCATGGGCAGCGATGTAAACGCTGCTTTCTCTGTGTACAATGCTCAACCTGCAGGGACAGGCTGCAGTCCTTCTGGTGACTATAGTGTCCATTTAACTGGTAAAGGAATCTCGGGTTCCTCTCAGTGGATCATGTACAGTTACTGCTCTGACATGGACCTGCTCAATTTACATGGCACCAGCCTCCAAGCATCATGGGAGAAGGTGTCCATTATGTGTATTTGAATTAAAAAAAAATATATTTTTTCCTAATTTCTGTCTTTCTTTATGGCAGGTCTCAGACAGAGTAATGCAGATGACTACCTGAAGGAGGTGATTATATTGCTTTATATATTTATATTACCAAGATGTTTTTTATTAATATTATCTAGGTGGAAAACAGAAGAAATAAGGTAAGCCAAATAATATTGGTACACAGATAGAAGGGGGGTAACCCCAAATGTAAGCTATATATTTTGAGAAAAGGTAGTGTACCAAGAAGGGAGCTGGGATGGGTAACAAATGCAAAGGAAACATTATACACCCAGATAAAGGAAAATATCATCATATGTGAAAAATAAAAAAATCGAATAAAATTGCCCAACGACAAATCCCATGGAGTTCATGTGCCGTTCGAGTTTTATTTTCCTTTATCTGGGTGTATGTTTCCTTTGCTTGTTACCCATCCCAGCTCCCTTCTTGGTACACAACCCTTTTTCAACATATATTATCTAGATATTTCTATTGTCATTGTTATGCAGATTGTAATATATATTACTCAGATTATAATCTCTTTATAGAGGATATTTATTTGTTATTTAGATAATCCGCTATCACCCATATTTTAATTATTCTAAACAATCTATATTCAGACTGGGCGCTGGAAGTGAATGCGTGTAAATTACTGATTAATATTGAAATTCCCTTTAATTCCTCACAGTTCTCTCTTTCGGTAAAACCTGGTGTTCATGGCCTCTGATTGTCCCTCCGCTCCCATTCTTCCCATCATAATATTGATGGGTGCTCGACATAGCGGAGTTAGGATGATGGGTTTTATTGCGTACGTCTGGGTACTTCAGGGCAGTGTTAATTTTGTCGAGTAACAATTTTAGTCAACTAAATTTTGTTTGACTAAAATACCACTAAAACTAAAATGTCTTTTTAGGCAAAATTAACACTGCTTCAGGGAAAAACTAATTCATAAACTATAAAAACCTTCTAGTCACACAGTAACTGCGGGGAGAATCTTCTCCTATAAAGGCTGTTTGTACCAGGTAATATCTCGTACAGAAAGGCTGTTTGGTAGGATAGCGTGTAAAAGGTAATATCTCGTACAGAAAGCCTGTTTGGTAGGATAGCGTGTACCAGGTAATATCTCGTACATAAAGGCTGTTTGGCAGAATAGTGTGTACCAGGTAATATCTCGTTCAGAAAGGCTGTTTGGTAGGATAGTGTGTACCAGGTAATATCTCGTACATAAAGGCTGTTTGGCAGAATAGTGTGTACCAGGTAATATCTCGTTCAGAAAGGCTGTTTGGTAGGATAGTGTGTACCAGGTAATATCTCGTACAGAAAGGCTGTTTGGTAGGATAGCAAGTACCAGGTAATATCTCGTACAGAAAGGCTGTTTGGTAGGATAGCGTGTAAAAGGTAATATCTCGTACAGAAAGCCTGTTTGGTAGGATAGCGTGTACCAGGTAATATCTCGTACATAAAGGCTGTTTGGCAGAATAGTGTGTACCAGGTAATATCTCGTACAGAAAGGCTGTTTGGTAGGATAGTGTGTACCAGGTAATATCTCGTACAGAAAGGCTGTTTGGTAGGATAGCAAGTACCAGGTAATATCTCGTACAGAAAGGCTGTTTGGTAGGATAGCAAGTACCAGGTAATATCTCGTACAGAAAGGCTGTTTGGTAGGATAGTGTGTACCAGGTAATATCTCGTACAGAAAGCCTGTTTGGTAGGATAGCGTGTACCAGGTAATATCTCGTACATAAAGGCTGTTTGGCAGAATAGTGTGTACCAGGTAATATCTCGTACAGAAAGGCTGTTTGGCAGAATAGTGTGTACCAGGTAATATCTTATACTCCTCGAGGGGCGATATAAGCCATGACGCCCTCCCACCCAGTGAGAGGTGGAGCCAGTAAGGATTGCAATGGACACATGTGACCCCAACTCCCCAGAAACACGAGGTCTGTGCACATACATCATCACCGATTTATACAGCATCATATTAATGCATCATATTAATGTTTTAAGTAACCGGCTTCCAGAGATCCCATAGAACTTTTACACAGAGCAAATAACGCCTGTACAAACGAGCTGTGTGTGGCATGAAGTGTAGATATCATTCCTCACACACCGTAGGTCACACAGTATGGGGGAAACAAGATAGTTAAACAGAGGCCCTGGTGCTTAAGAGGTTAACGCGCTGAGTTTAGAGAGACTCTTTCCTTGCCATGGTGAGGTCTTTGCGGCCCCCGAATTCCCCACACCGCCTCTGTATTGTGTAAACACTGCATTGTTTGCGAGGCTTCCATTCATGCGAGCGCCTGCATTGTAAATGGACAATCAGGAATGGCTGCCTAAGCGTGAATACTCTGTAAGGAAGTGCCGGGCGGCCTGGGCTCATGGTTTGGGGGATTATCTCTGATTACACCAATTTACTCATCTCTCTTCTCTTTCCACAGCTTTTTGCTACTGCGAACCAATATCACTTCCTGCACAGCCTGGCTCTACTGGCTGTCCCTCACTGCAGGCGCCCCCTGCTGGTACGTGGACTCTATTACACCATGCAAGGACAATATTAGATAATTAGGTACAGATAATCCAGTGGTGTGAGTGTCTCACGGTTTATCCATAATTTTGATAAAAAATTTAATACAAATACCCCACTGATTTTTTTTTATTATTTTTTTTAATTGTTCAATGTAAACGTCAGTGATGCAGAACATTAAATTGCTAAAGTGTCCAGAACCCCCTTTCTCTATAATAAACCCTCCAAGTATCTTTTTAAAATACATGATTTCTATTTGTTTTTACATTTGCGATTAAGTTAAGGCTAGACTTCTTTTCATTTTAGGGAAGCACCATGACATACATTTTCCCATGCTGCCTGGGATTATTGAGAGCTGCTGATTTTTGATTCTCATAATTTGCCCCTTTCGGCATAAGAGAGGATCTGGGGAGAGAGAATTGCACTGTCTCCGCAGCTCTCCTCCTGGCAGGTCATTATCGGGAGTCTGGACAATTTAATGGCGGCAATTGCAATAACCCAGCTGCTTCCACTGAAATCAGAGGTCCTCACACGGCAGCATGTCTGTCGCATGTCCTGCCATGAATCCCGATATCGTTTACACCCCAAAAACATAAACCCTAACTTGATAAATTTAAGTGATAATCTAACAATTAGACAAAGTATTCCACAAGCTGATCAATACCCACAGGGTTTGGGAGCTGATCAGTGCCCATAGGGTTCAGGAGTGAGAGAATCCATACGTTGCAGGCAATGACACTCCTATATCCCCCCACAGATTGTACTGTAACTCCGTGTGATACCAGCCCCATTGCTCTATCAATCATTCTGTATCATGCTCTGCTTGGGAAGGTGAATTGAAATGAACAAGTAGTTGTAGACTCCCATGCCGGAGTGCCTGTAAGCACCGGAAGTGTGAAGGAAAGCAGTGGGTCTGAATGTGTTGTCTGCATGCTACTTAGTAACCCCATGCTGCCGCGATGGCATAGAGCGAAGTTAGCTACAGAAACTAAATGTGCTACAGAAGTACAGAGCTTATTCTGTCAGGGTACAGATTTTACGTACGTCTTTTACAAAAAACAAAAATGACAAATTCTGCATTGGAGAGTAAATTGAATTACAGCTTTACAAATACAAAAAGAAAAGTCCTGCGCTCACTCCCATAACTCCTGGGCATCAGCAACGACTACAGTACACATCAGCCCCAATATATAGTAAAATCCAAAGGAAAAAAGGTTACCTGCACTCTCTCCTTATTCCCTATGTATATTTAAACAAATGGAGGTCATTTAGTTACTCCAATGGCCACTGGAGGGAATGCTCGCCTGCCAACGTCAAGGCAGACCCCCCTAGACGGGTCCTACTCTGACCCTTTACCTTGCTTCCTTGAGCTTCTGGCAAAGAGATCTGAGACAGTAGGGGGTATTTTTTATATACGTCCCTATATACTTGTTAACCCTTAATAGGGAACACATGGGATGGGCGTCAGCATTGTAACAAGGCTGTGTGATACAAAAGTGAAAAGGGAATAGAGAGTCTGCACCTCTAAAACAGGTAAATACCCCTTTCTGTCTCATTAGAGATATCTTTGCCAGAAGCTCAAGGAATCAGGCTGAAGGGTCAGAGTAGGACCCGTCTAGGGGGGTCTGCCTTGACGTTGGCAGGCGAGTATTCCCTCCAGTGGCCATTGGAGTAACTAAATGACCTCCATTTGTTTAAATATACATAGGGATTAAGGAGAGAGCGCAGGTAACCTTTTGTTTGGTTTTTACTATAAATTACAGCTTTCCCAACGTCAGTCTTGTTTTACAGCCCAGAAAGCAGAGGTTGCGTGTGCTGTATTTTGTCGTTTTATGAAGTATGGATGTTAAGGTGTCGCTTGTCTATCTGATGGTGCAGGGAATGATATAAAGCATAATAAGTGTTACGCAGGATTGGGAGTAATGTGATTCCATATTCAGTATAACAATAAAAGATTCCCTGGGGACGCCCATTCATTTTTGGCTTTCTGTGTGTGTTAGTGCAATATTTACGTCATTCCAGTTTTTGGTTTTACTCTGCGATTGTCTGTATCCCCATCTCTTATGCCACATATTTCTGTTGTACACAAGGAATTGTGCAAGCTGTCCTTCTAGTTAATATTTCCATATTCATCACTGGGTGCTTTGTGTTCTATTCATGTTACACATGTTGGTTTGTGTTTTTGTTATCCCGGGCTCTGCTCTTCCAGCCAAGTCCTCCTATTTACACAGTGTGACTGCACAGCCCTTGTTTTGTACATTAGCTGATTCTAAAGCATTAATAGGTCTTCTCCAGATAGTAAGCGTAGATATAGCATATTCAATAAAATATCCCTCCACTGGTATTAAGGGGCCTTTCTGAGCTATTACAATAGTCCCAGACTTTTAATTCTCCTGCAGTTTGCATTGTGTATTATACAGCCTGGCATAGCACCACTCATCGCTTTCTACCATACCAGCCCCTAAGCATTGTGTATTATACAGCCTGGCATAGCACCACTCATCGCTTTCTACCAGCCAGCCCTAAGCATTGTGTATTATACAGCCTGGCATAGCACCACTCATCGCTTTCTACCATACCAGCCAGCCCTAAGCATTGTGTATTATACAGCCTGGCATAGCACCACTCATCGCTTTCTACCATACCAGCCAGCCCTAAGCATTGTGTATTATACAACCTGGCATAGCACCTCTCATCGCTTTTTACCATACCAGCTCTAAGCATTGTGTATTATACAGCCTGGCATAGCACCACTCATCGCTTTCTACCATACCAGCCCTAAGCATTGTGTATTATACAGCCTGGCATAGCACCACTCATCACCATACCAGCCAACCCTAAGCATTGTGTATTATACAACCTGGCATAGCACCTCTCATCGCTTTTTACCATACCAGCTCTAAGCATTGTGTATTATACAGCCTGGCATAGCACCTCTCATCGCTTTCTACCATACCAGCCCTAAGCATTGTGTATTATACAGCCTGGCATAGCACCACTCATCACCATGCCAGCCAGCCCTAAGCATTGTGTATTATACAGCCTGGCATAGCACCACTCATCGCTTTCTACCATACCAGCCAGCCCTAAGCATTGTGTATTATACAGCCTGGCATAGGTACCACTCATCGCTTTCTACCATACCAGCCAACCCTAAGCATTGTGTATTATACAACCTGGCATAGCACCACTCATCACCATACCAGCCAGCCCTAAGCATTGTGTATTATACAGCCTGGCATAGCACCACTCATCACCATACCAGCCAGCCCTAAGCATTGTGTATTATACAACCTGGCATAGCACCTCTCATCGCTTTTTACCATACCAGCTCTAAGCATTGTGTATTATACAGCCTGGCATAGCACCACTCATCGCTTTCTACCATACCAGCCCTAAGCATTGTGTATTATACAGCCTGGCATAGCACCACTCATCACCATACCAGCCAGCCCTAAGCATTGTGTATTATACAGCCTGGCATAGCACCACTCATCGCTTTCTACCTTACCAGCCCTAAGCATTGTGTATTATACAGCCTGGCATAGCACCACTCATCACTTTCTACCAGCCAGCCCTAAGCATTGTGTATTATACAGCCTGGCATAGCACCACTCATCACTTTCTACCAGCCAGCCCTAAGCATTCTGTATTATACAGCCTGGCATAGCACCTCTCATCGCTTTCTACCAGCCAGCCCTAAGCATTGTGTATTATACAGCCTGGCATAGTACCACTCATCGCTTTCTACCATACCAGCCAGCCCTAAGCATTGTGTATTATACAGCCTGGCATAGCACCTCTCATCGCTTTCTACCAGCCAGCCCTAAGCATTGTGTATTCTACAGCCTGGCATAGCACCGTTCATCGCTTTGTACCATACCAGCCCTAAGCATTGTGTATTATACAGCCTGGCATAGCACCAGTCATCGCTTTCTACCATAGCCAGCCCTAAGCATTGTGTATTATACAGCCTGGCATATCACCACTCATCACTTTCTACCAGCCAGCCCTAAGCATTGTGTATTATACAGCCTGGCATAGCACCACTCATCGCTTTCTACCATACCAGCCTTAAGCATTGTGTATTATACAGCCTGGCATAGCACCACTCATCATTTTCTATCAACCAGCCCTAAGCATTGTGTATATATTGCTTTTTTACTTGTTTTGTAGTTTTGTTTTTGTATTTATTAATATCATCTAGTGCAGTAATCGCCTGCTAGGGTTAACTCCTCATCTAGTGGCTGTCTACCTGCAGAGTGACACAGGGGGTGCTGTGCGTCTGTTCCTTCACCTGCAGAGTGACAGACAGGGGGTGCTGTGCGTCTGTTCCTTCACCTGCAGAGTGACAGACAGGGGGTGCTGTGCGTCTGTTCCTTCACCTGCAGAGTGACAGACAGGGGGTGCTGTGCGTCTGTTCCTTCACCTGCAGAGTGACAGACAGGGGGTGCTGTGAGTCTGTTCCTTCACCTGCTGGGTGACAGACAGGGGGCACTGTGCATCTGTTCCTTCACCTGCTTGGTGACCGACAGGAGGTGCTGTGCGTCTGCCCCTCCCACTGCATTATGACAGGAGGAAGTTCAGAATCTGCCTCAACCCAGCTAATCGGTCCTTTGTTAATGACACTTTACTTTTGTCTCTTTAGGCTGGTTCTCTTTTGACATCTGGAATGGTCCTTTTCTCTGGTACCTTCTATTATCACGCTCTAACTGGGGACTCCACGTTCACCAAGGCAGCACCGTATGGGGGCACCCTCCTGATCTTAGGGTGGGCAGCAATGGCTCTGTGAAGGCATCTTGACTGAGTCTGTAGAAGATTATGGTTGGCTTTGAAGTGTTTTTTTCCCAGATTGCATAGCGTGCAGGGGCCAGCGTGAGATTTGACAATGAGAAGAGGCGATAAACCTGACGCTGCACAGAAAATGGGTAAACGCCACAAGCTGACATCACTGCTTACATTAATCATGATGATTAGGAATTGATAAAAAAAAATGTATACAGTCACAATAAATCTAATGTACATGTAAATAAATAATTTGCATATAAAATTAAAAAAAAAGATTGTAAAGTTTGTTTGAAATCTGCCAGTCACGCTGCATTTCTTTCAGGTAACAATCTGAAAAATTATTTATACAGGTGTGTAAGGACCTGATGGTATCTAATATTAAATGTTACAGTGGAGGCTGGACTTGGAAGAAGGGTGTCTGGTCAAACACTGGGTCTGAATGGAGTTCTCTAAACTCCTCTAAACCTACTGTGGCAGACCACCAGAGTATCACCGCCACAGGTTCCCTTTTCCAGTGTGAAATAGCTCTATTAAACCGCAGTAGTGGTTATAGCTAGTATAGCTTTACCCCTTATATTAGCCGAGACTTAATATTGGGAGTAGATCTGGTTTATTTTCCTAAAATATCCAGTATTTATACACGGACCCCCAGCATGGGATCTACGTAGAGCATAACATAAACTCCTCCCAGGTGTCTTGGTCTGGGAGATAATTGAGCCCTAAGCCTGGTAATTCAAGTATCTTTCAGGTACAGGAAAACTTGCAATTTTACACAACCCGAAACCCCATTAATTCTACGCAGGAACCCCACATGTCCTATAGCCCGGATCTGAGTGCTCAAGTTGTCTAAATAGCCCTCAGATCCGTTTGGTGTAGTGAAATCGCCACAACGTAAAGTTTTGACTGGCCTGCCACGAGGTTGTAGCCCCAAACCGTTCCAGAGGATATGAGGCAGTGGGCAGTCAATGTTTTCCCTGGCTCTTGGGGAGCAAATGTTCTTTGTAGTTGAGTCTTTTCCCCGAAGAGCGCTATAGCGGAGCAGCAATGCTGAGATTGAATATCTCTGGAGCGCTGGTTAGTTCTGGGCGTCAACTAATTTTTATTAGCCCACACATGGCTTTTGTATGCACAGCCCCATAGTATGGGGTCTCCAGATCAAGTTTACAGGGAATTTTCCCAAGATGCTCTGGGTCTGAGAGATAATTGGGCTGGGAATTTTAGATAACTTAATTATCTCTCCGTTACATGAAATACATAAAATATATAATACATCCCAAAAACATTACAGGAACCAAACAATTCTTATATCCCCGAATAGCCTGTATCTGAGTGCACAACATATCCGAAAATGCTCAGATTGGTTCGGTGGAACGAGATCGCTATTCGGGAGAAGAGTTCACCGGCCGGCCACGAGGTGATGCCCTAAAATAGTTCGAGTACTCCGGTCTATGGCCGGTCTTGGTTTGGGTGTTCCTGAACGAACACCAACGAACGCTCCTCCTGGCTCTCCCCAGTCGGTACATCATATCTCCCAAACGTGGTTCGTGTAGTTGTTCGGGAAATTATACAGACAGCAGTACCATCTTGACCGGGGTTCGGTATAGAAACGGCAGCCACCCAGGGAAGGTCAGTTTTCTAAGTCAATAACAGGGGCGGGGACCACACAAGTTCTGTTCGGTTCACGATCAGGGGGGTACGGATCTGTTCGAAAGAACTCAATATGGGTTCGGGCAACCCCAGGAACTGATGCCAGGTCCGCCACAAGCGCTCTCCTGGATTGTCTGTTGGAGGAGTGTCTGACGACAAAGTACTGCTGCCTGCGTTTGGCAGACAAGATGGCCATCATTTCAAAGAGCACGTGTTTGATTATACAAATGGTGGCCTCCCAGGGAGAGCACTTGAGTTAAACACATTCTTTGAGGTTAATGAGCCAGGGGGTGGTCTGGGTCTCGGGAGTATAAAAAGGGAGATACAAATTTCCGTTCGGGAAATGAACAGGGGATACAGAGAAACAAACAAGTAGATTATCACAAGTGAAGGGTTATTCCATCTCACCTACATCTTGGTAACTTGGCTGAGCTGAAAAAAATCTCTTAAAGACTACCCAACTACTGCCTCCTATATATTATTAAAGGGACACTATAGGCACCCATTGAAGTGGTCTGTATGTAGTGCCCCAGCCTGTTTAACCCTGCAATGTAAAAAGTTTTCAAACTGCAGTGTTTATATTGCAGGGGTAAGTCCACCTTTAGTGGCTGTCTTCCTGCTACCTAACAGAGTTTGACTCATTCAAATGGAGTTAAACGTACTCACTCCTTGAATGTGGATGTCTAAAATGTTGAATTTTTTTTATTTTAATGTGAGCGATGCACATTGGTCCCACAACGCCTTATGGGAGTTGGAGACCTTGCAAGCACCTCGACAGTGGAAAGAGGAAAGTTGTAGGGATAATTGTGGGGACATGTATTGTACACTGTACTGGAGACCGTATCTTCAGAAGGATATTGATACCTTAGACAGGGTTCAGAGAAGGGCTACTAAACTGGTTCATGGATTGCGGGATAAAACTTACCAGGAAAGGTTAAAGGATCTTAACATGTATAGCTTGGAGGAAAGACGAGACAGGGGGGATATGATAGAAACATTTAAATATATAAAGGGAATCAACACAGTAAAGGAGGAGACTATATTTAAAAGAAGAAAAACTACCACAACAAGAGGACATAGTCTTAAATTAGAGGGACAAAGGTTTAAAAATAATATCAGGAAGTATTACTTTACTGAGAGGGTAGTGGATGCATGGAATAGCCTTCCAGCTGAAGTGGTAGAGGTTAACACAGTAAAGGAGTTTAAGCATGCGTGGGATAGGCATAAGGCTATCCTAACTATAAGATAAGGCTAGGGACTAATGAAAGTATTTAGAAAATTGGGCAGACTAGATGGGCCGAATGGTTCTTATCTGCCGTCACATTCTATGTTTCTATGTTTCTATGTCTGACAAATTGAAAAAGATGTTTTTTAATCCCTTCAAAATCGGACGTAGGGTGGACAGGTTTGTATTCCTAACGCTATATTTTTTCTTTAATCAGTACTTCAAATTATATTCTAAAAGACAGAGGCATATAAACTTTGCACCATGGACCACCCTATGCGTTCCCACTAGTCTCAATCTCTGAAAACGCATTTAACCAAATATCTGCTATGTATCCTGAGATGTAGGCGAAGTGTAGGTTTAGGTTCCTTGTTAGCTCTAGAGTTCAGTATTCAGTCTATGGAGAGCTGCAAGGTTCAGTGTTCAGCCTTGTAGCGGAGCTGCAATCCTCTGGAGCTGGAAGGGAAGCACTGGTTATAGCCCATTCCCCCAGTAACTGGATGAGACACCGCTTTGGGAATCAACTTATTTTATTTTGGCCACCCACTGCTTTTATTCACAGACCCCTACATGGGGTCTCCTATACAAAAATACAGGGCTTTTCCTCCCAAGATCCTCTGTGCCTGAGAGTTAATTGCGTGAGAAGAAAAATCTATAACTCCGTTATCTCACCGGTACAGAAAAATCTACAATATTTAAAAACACCCCAAAAATACTTTTTTTTTTTTTTTTATATATTTTTATTTTTTCAAGATTTCACAATTTACATAGTACAATCAATTCCTCTATTGCAACATTTACATTTCTAATGTGTTTCCGTATATAAACAACATTTCCATTGTACAACGAATATAAATATTCATATCTATAGTTCACATAGATTGCAAAAAGAGGTAGATAAAAATACCTAAAACTTTACATTCACTCATACATACAATCCCGGGGAACCAATCGTACACTTATCCACTTTTCCCATCCTTCCCATAAGATACATTATTACTAAAGTTCCTCGAGAGTCAATCTCGCATTCGGGGCGGCTCATATCCTAAGAATTATAAGTTCTAATAGTAATAAAGTTATCAACCATTATTTCCCATTTACTGTATTTCTTCAAACCTACAGAGTTAACTAATATTAATCCCTTTTCCATCTTACATTGATATATTACCTGTATTTTGATTTCACTCCACTGTATTTCTTTTTTATTTTTCCAGTTTCTAGCCACCGCTAACTTTACTGCCATTAAAATATGAATTATCAACATTTGTTTCTCAGGGGACATAGAAGGCCATCCCAGATGTAACAAAAAACTTTGTGGTGTAAAGGGTATATTTAGCTGACATGAATTATAAATCTGCTTATATACCTCCTTCCATATTTTACTTAAAACTGTACAATGCCACCAAATATGGAGATAATCTCCTTTCGCATCTTCACATCGCCAACAAAAAGAACTCTGATCTAGATACATTTTAGCCAATTTTTCTGGGACCATATACCATCTATTTAGGAGTTTATAAAAATTCTCTACTATGTTCAAGCAGTGTACCGATTTATTAACTTTCTCTATCACATTTATCATATCTTGTTCAGAGATTACTATTTGTAAATCTTTTTCCCACTTACTCTTAGATTTCCAAAGAGGAGCCTTCTGGGATAGCTTTAAGAATTCATAACATCTAGAAATATGACCTTTTAGTTCTATATGTTTCCATAATCTTCTTAATGTTACTTATATTTTTATTAAGCTGAATATCCAAGAATTTCGTCAAATAAAACTTAACTCTCAAATATGTAAAAACCTCCTTACTTTCAATCCCGAATTCTACCTGTAGCTGGCTAAATGACTTAAGATCCTTTGCGTCTATAATTTGTTGAATGTGCGTAATACCTTTTTGTATCCAACCTCTAATATTAATATCGTCAATATTATTATTAATCACCTCCATAGGTAGAAAAGGGAATAATCTATATTCTATTTTATAATTTTTCTTAAATTTATACAAGAATCTCCATATACTATCTATAATTGTCGAATTTTCTGGATGAACCAAATTATTTTTTTCTAAATTCCTCCTTGTTGTCCAAAACAGGGAGGATAGGCTGCTTGTCTCTACTAGTGATTGCTCTATATGATGCCAAGATTGATCTTTTTGATCTATACTTAATGTGTTAACAGTATGGGCCAACATACATGCGTCGTGATATTCAATTATATTTGGGGCAGCAAGACCTCCCTCTTTTCTTTTCTTAGATATTAACTGTAAACTTATTCTTGGTTTTTTACCTTTCCAAATAAATTTAGAAAAGGCTGATTGTATCATTTTTAACCATGGATTGGGAACTTGTATAGGTATCATTCTAAAGAGATAGTTCCATTTAGGCAAAATATATGATCGAATAGTATTTATGCGGCCTATCAAAGAAATCTCCT